TTACACAAAATGTGAACAAATTTACCTTAGTTTGAGAGTGAAAAAATATATGCGGCTTCAAGGGTTAATTTGCAGTGATGACAAGAACAGTTTAACGGTTGTTATCGCTCCCGTCCAATAGGACGTCATTCTCCCAAACTTATGATTATACAATTCAGGGACTGTGGATCCTGTACGGGAATGTATATCGCGGCTAAGCAATTGGCTAGGGGGAGGAGGGGGGAGCTTCAAACCCACAAAATATAAATATAAACTAGAATACAAATTCTCATCACACACAAACACATGATAAATGAACTAGATATAGTGTGACACTAGATGCTTCCCTGGAGGACACCATGTGTACATCTCTTGTGTCTTCAGAGATTACCTGTCTACTATTGCATCTAAATATATAATTAAGACATGAATAGCAATTCTGCTGTTACGTGGACAGTTTTAATATTTAATATTTTAATTTATCATATCACTCATTCTTATCATACATACGCAGTTTAATTTTTTTTTTTATTTAAATTCAATATGTATGATGAGTAAAACAGGCATAAAACAATTTTTGATCAGTTGTTATTTGGAGCGGAAGATTTATACATATAAATGGATTGTTTAACGGAGTATAACTATTTTCTTAAAACTTTAAATATTGATTATTATTATACGAGAGCATTATTAAATTGCTATAAATGGAATTGTGATGGAAAGATGGACACATAGACTATGGCATATTAATTCCTACATATGATGGAATATGATCCCGGTGGGAAATTTCACGGATGTCAGCACTTGCAATTTCAAAGTCAGGTGAGATAACGAGACAAAGTAGGACATTCGGTGACCTCTTATAAACCACCTAATCACTTAATACACAATAATTCGGGAGTTACCTCCAGCCCTGTGGAGTTTATATCCATCATAATCCCAATGTTTCGTCAGATGTTACTTACCAACAAGAAAACAAGAAATCTTAGAAATAGTTCCCATGTGATGATGGAAGAGAACACTAGTATTAAAAAGAGCATGGCGGAGCTATTAACAATATCTGCAACTAATTTGACCAAATAAAAAAAATTACCTTACCTACTCATGTTTTGGCAAAAATGAAAAAGTTTCGTGCACTTCCTTCGATGTAGTGATCAATAACTAACTTAACAATAGTTAACCAACCATCTTTTGTCAACATTCACAAATTTAAACTCACATAATTTATTCACATCAGCACGAATAAAAAACAACTAGTCAAGTGTGGGTTTCACTATGTCTAATTCCATCTGGGCAAACAGTTTTCCAGATACTGACTAACTCAAAAACAATTGAATATTGTAAATGCATTAATTATTTGCTGGTTTTTAAATTTCCAGTGAAAATAAATGGTTTAACAGTACATAAATGCGCTTGTTTAAAAAAGATAAAACTCAATACTTCACGGAGACATAGAAATCATCCATATGCATTATGGGGACACAGGACATAACGAGGAACCTTGAAGTTTTGAACGTTCTCTGTCTTAGAAAAAAAAAATCACACACAAAGTTTGAAAAGTGGGATGATCATCACCATGAAACAAATTCAGAAGGCACGTCTTACCAGCTTAAATGATGCTGCTCCATTTGTCTCCTGTTTCTATGACAACCAGTTAGACCTAAATGATCCAAAAGATCCCAGCTTAGAATAAAGAGATGACGCTGTATTGCTATCAATAGTTTCATCTGTCTTTGTACTACTTCTCGTAATAGATTCCAAACTAGGAGTCGTCAACTGTGAAAATAAACCAGATAGTATGATTATTCAACTGTTTCTGCCCCATAATATGATTTGGGTGATCTTGAATTGTCACAAAATACAAAACTAGTTTAATAGAGTGCTTGAAAATTGTGAATTCAGAATACTCCATATTAAAGAAGGCTGCCACCATTGGTTCTAACAATCAATTTACTTTGTTTTTATGGTAATAATCATTCACCATACAAACGCAAAACATTAATTCATTTGACAATACAACAACACAAATCGCTGCTAGCAGTTTCTCATAATTTGATGATTTTACAGCATTCGTGAAAACAAAATTTTGCAATAGTCGCTGAATCACGAAATTCACAAAAATGTACATTTGTATCTCTTTCTGAATTTAAAGCAGCATATTTGAGAATTTACGAATATTTTCATATGTGCGTATTTAGGGTAATGTTTTTAAATAGATAAAAATACAACTCTATTAGTATGGTATTATGTCTGTCTCAACAATAATATAGTTCATTAATAATTCAGAACAGCAAAATGTGTTAACCCCAGTGGTTTTAACATCACCTGATCAATGCGCAATCATATGAAAGCACTAAGATACCGAGAAGTTCAATAAAACTACTATTTCTGTCACGCAATAAAAAAAAGTAAATGCATTACAATAAGTTATCAAGTTTCAAAAATATATAAAATTTGAACGTGAATGGTCAAAGCATTATGTGATATTCGTACGGCTGTCCCATCGGCTTTGGTATATTTGGCTTCAGCTTTGCGTCAGGTTCACGTAAACAAACATCCGGTTTGGCTACAATTTGGCATCAGCTTCATTTCGGCTTTGCTTCAGTGTCGCTACAGCATCGCGTTAGCTTCACAACTTGCAACGCTGAAAGTTTTGTGGTCGAAATGGTGAAGTTTGAAGTGTTCTATTCTGTCTGTATTTCTGGGAAACTAGAGTTAGTTGATTACAAACGCTGTTCGATATATTGCTTTACACGGGATCGTTTGAGGATGCAACTTGAACTGTGACCCCTTGTTATGTGATTTAGATAATTGTATTGCGGAGTGATCAGAAAACCTAGACAGACAATGTGTTTCTGTCTCTGACAAAATACAGAATAAATTTCCAGTGACGTACATTACACAGAAAAGTAAATTAAGAATCATCTTTTGATTTAAAAGAAAAATTAATAATAAACTCACCTGTAGTTGCTTAGATAATAACGACTGTCCATCCCCGTAACCACTGTGTGTTGTACTTAACGGCAACAAACTAAATCGACCTTGTGCTGGTGTGAGCGGTAACACATTATGCTGTTCTTGGTGTCCAGTAGGTATGGGTCTATGGCTATATATGGGTCTTTCTGGGGTGGACAATGCTCCTAGAAGGACCTACAAAGTAAGCAAAGACATTGCACCCTCTATAGTTTGTTTTCTAAATTCTTTTGTTTTTAATGGAAACTACTTGTACTTTTTTAACCCCCTTGAATGTCCTAATTTTGTCGCTAAAATTTTGGTGCATATTTCTATAATTTTTAATTTTGCACCAAGTAAACATGATCCCCCATCAGCTACAGGGTTTGGTCAACATTTAAAAAAAAAAATTGCCAAAAAATTACGCTGCTTTATTTAGTAATATATGCTTTAACTTTGGCGTTTAAAACATTATTCAAATCACCAGCTTAATGCAGGTCCTGATTATTGGATTTTTTTGAAACAAAGGAATAAATTTGTGATTTGAGGATCAATACGCAAATTAATCAGGATGTTTGTGCATTTTCTTGAAAACGTTGTTGATGAATTTCAATTCTCACAGTTTTTAGAGACAAGTGTGAATATTGGGTAACAGTGAATAGGTCACTCTAAAGGTACTGGTACTTTTCGTTGGTATTTTATATTTTTGTACAATTTCCAAGACTTGAATATTTGTTTTGGCTACTTGAGTAAATTGTTTCTGTTAGAAACAAAAAGATACATTCAAGCGCCAAAATGTATGTTTGTTATGCTGTCATACCAACAAAAGTACCAGGATGTGTGACCTTTAAGGTCATAAAAGTACCAGGATGTGTGACCTTTAGGGGTCATGAAAGTGGCCTATTGATTAACTCCCATAGCATTGAGGAAGACCAATATTGTACAGAGAAAATTTTAGTAGACATGGTAATACAGAAAATGTGGTTAAGTTCAATCACAAGTTCAAGACAGTGAGATGACGGAATAATAAATCTTAGAAAAAAATGGCTGCTTTGTTCTTGTTGATAGCCAGAAAGTCACACAATTTGTTTACACCTCTCAAATAATATTTCATTTTCTCTCATCATTGATTAAACTGATATATATAACCATGATATTTAAAACAGCGAATGTGATGACGATGAAAAAGAATGAAACACTATCTGAGAAGATACAGAACTTGAATGACATTTGATTATAAAATACTCATGTTAAAATAATACATGGAACATCTGGATGAATGTATACACTATGGGTACAACTCATCATAAAGTGATTTCCTATAATTTAGTATTGTACTGATAACTGAAGACTTCAATTGTCAAAATTTGAACTGTATTCATAAATCTGAGTGAACCTTGATGTACCTTTAAATTGCCTGTGAAAGGCCCACCCACACATTTTTCTGTTTGAATTTGTGTTCCACTGAAATAGACAGTTAGTGATTTTTTGGTTGAAAATAATTACTTGCATCCATAGACCCTCTAAAAGAGGGTCTATGTTGCATCCAAGTAAATTTGAGATATTTCTCGTGTTTTAGCCACGCCCACCTGTTCTGAAACAGTCAGTTGTTTCCAGCTTTTCAACTCCAGTCAAAGTAAAAGTAAGCCACCAAACGCCAAAATATGAGATTAATCCATACTCTTGCGCTATACTTTTATAATACTGTGTCATTTAACGATACTATTAACGATATATATTTATTGGTTGGCGTTGTATTGTTGTTGGACTCGGCAATGTGTATAGTAATAGTGTGAGAATTTACGCGATTCCAATTGATCCAAAGCCGTAAAATCAATGAGATAAAGAGGGGATGGACATTCTCCTTATACCGGTACTATCATACAGCCGATTCTTATGCCGAACATCTACCCTCATTTATAAAAGAACAGCTTGGGTTTAAAGACAATTGCCAACAAATTAAACCTGCCACAGTACTAACACATTTTACAGAACTAGATTTCGGACAAGTCCAAGTTCACCCCGTCTGCTTTTCAAAGAGAGAGGAACGTCGGGTAAGTTTTTTCAAATGTTTAGGAATCTAAATAATGTTTTGTGGAGACCATATAGTTTGTGTTATGTAAGAGGTAGCAATGATGTGACGAGACGCAAAAACCGAAGCATCAGTCAAACAGGTAATTACACAGCACTCATGCGTGGGTAATTGGTTTTAATTTTGCTGTCTAAAAGTTTCTGAATTGTTTGGTGAGTGGTGTTAACTTCACACTTCTGTGATTTTTTTGTGTAATTTGATCTGCGTAATAAGTAGGCTGTCAATATTTTGCGATAAAGTAATTTTTAATGTGATGGTTGCACTCTTGAGAAGATTACGGCGACCGTCGTTTGTGTCTAAGATCTATTATAGTAACCAATTAAATCAGTTAACTCACCGAAGTCCTAATTGAGTGCCGATTCAAATTAGTATTCAAATGTGGTATGAAGACATCCAAGTCAAACGGATCAATGTTGTTTTCTAAAGTCTCAGTCAACTTCTGAATTCTTCTAGCGTGTTCGGTACTCTCCTAAAAAAAAACAGAATTGAAGCAGTGATGTACTATGGTTCGGTGTCAAAAGATATCATATATACAACATATGAGGCCAACTAATATTTATGTTGTAGGTTACTGTGTTCATTAGATAAAAATGTGCCTGTCACAGAGAGAGGTCCACCTGCAGTACCTATATATATATATATAGCAATCAAAGCAATCTGATTTGCGGTTTTCAACAAGAAGTCGAAAATATCACTTTTTACCAAAAAATGAGAACTAAAGATATCATCACAAAATTAACAAATCTAAGTGAGGTCTACCCAATGTACATATACACAAAGTATCAAAGCAATCAGGCTTGTAGTTTTCAAGAAGAAGTCGAAAAAGTAAAACGTTGACATGGACGACAAACGCCGATGGACAATACGAAGTAAGTCAGGGGCCACAACAATTCACCAATACAGACACATACAACTTTTTCTTGAAGGCTGACCACCAGGGAAATGTTTGAAAAATAGAAAAAGAAGGAGAAGTTAATGGAGAAAAAACAAGCAACAGCTGAATGCATAAAAGAAAAAAATCATAGACCAGTATGAAACAAAGAAAATGTGACTATCATCTTGCATACGC